ACCCAGCTGCTTCATGTATATTATGAAACCTTGCACCATAATTAGCACTTTTAAGTTATTAGTCACCTGGGAAGAAATCAAATGGTGGTCTAAAAGGGAATATTTCTATGCAAAATATCAGAGCCTGCAGGCTTCCTTTCACATTCCCTTTCTCTGCAAAAGTTGTGCTGCAGAACATGCATCCAGAGCAGCTATAAAGGGGGAAAAGGAGGTTTTATGTCACCAGGGGGAATTATTCTGTTGTATCATCCTCTTCACAATGTGCTTCTGCTTTTTTAATGGGAGTGGGAAGCATTGATTATACATTTATGCCGAGTCTTGCCACTGCTAAAATGCAAACTGCAATTTTGTAACAAAATGCAGTATTTCTGAATTATTGCTCTTTGAAGCCTCAAAGGACTCCCGCAGGAGCACTTCTGAGTTCTTTTTATTTTAGTTTGTTTGCATGTTTCCCCAAGTCTAGTTAGGTCAATTTGATGTTGTGATTTGACTCTTATTTTTTTTCCCCTCAAATGACCCACACACCCCCAAAAACCTTTCAAATTTCTCAACTTTTTGTAAGGTATTCCTTATCCAAAAAATTAACTAGCTCTGTTTTGTTTGGGTTTTTTTCTGTTAAGCAGAAAGGTAGATGAGCAGTCCAGACTCCAGCAAATATCCATGTCTACAACAGTGAAGAGGAAAGCTCCCCTGTCCAGGTGTTCAGCAATTGCTGCTGAGAGCAGCCCTAGGCAGTGGCTGCAGACAGTGTGGAAGCAGAAAATAGCTCTTCCCTGGTCATTTTCCCCGAGTTTGCTTCCTGCCTCAGTGAGGACAGCAACAGCCAGGGAAGAAATAGTGGAAGAGGCACTGTCCTGCCTGCAGGAAGCTATGTATGTTCCCCATTTACTGGCAGATGATCCCTGCTCCATGCGAGCCAGGGAATTCCCCACAGCTGTGCTATACTACTGGGCTTCTGTTCACACTGACCCTGATCCAAAGTTCTCAGTGAAGCCAAAAGTGTTTTTTGTTTTTTCCCCAGTGCCTTCACAGGGTTTTGGATGTGGTCCACTGCAGGCTGTAGCAGTGGCTGCAGTCAAGATACTGGCATGTGTTTTGCAGGCGATGGGAATAGATGATCATAGTTATTTTTTCTGCCCATAAAATCAATGCAATATCTTCTCCTGATATTCCCTGCCTCGTAACAGAGAGCTTTTGTTGTGCTTTACGCCTGACCAAGTTTCTTGGGAAATATTAGATTTCATATCAGTTTTTCTCACTGAATTGTTCTCTCTGGGATGCTTAGACACCAACGCATTTATATCCAAAGGATCCAGAAGAGGTTAGCCAGAGGTGATTACGTCTCAAATGATGTTGTACTATAATTGCTCAGGATATCAGCTTAAATGAAATAATCTGCGCGGGAGAGAAGAAACAGTAAAGCTAAGGAAGGAAATTGCTGCTATAATTACTAGAGTATTTCTCTTTGAGGTATTAAAAAGAAATATTTATAACATAAAAAGCTTGGAGAGGATGGCATGTGGCAGCTACAGACTGGCTGGCAGAGCCTCTCTTACCTTACATCAGCTGCAATAAGCTTCCTGAGCATTACTTATACATGAATTGAGGGTAAGAGTAAAAGTATGGGGGTAGATAGAAAATAGCCCTCAGTAATCAACTAGTTCAAATGCTGTATAATGAGTTACAAAAAAAATATGTGAGACAGGTACTCTCTTTCAAGGCCTTGTGCCACTAAAGTTGTTCAAGCTTGGACACAACTTCAGTAGCGGCACAATCAGACCCACAGCCAACAATGTAAGACGGATAGCAAGACATTCATTACAAATAACTACCATGCTTTTTCCTTTTAGGGCTTTCTCCCTTCCAGATTGTCCTGAACAAAAAAAGACCCGATTTTCTCACAGCTAGAGCAGACTCCTCTTTCTAAACATATCAGTACTGTGCAAACTTCTCGTTTCCTCTACAGCTCTTTTACTATTTCCAGAGATACATGCTATTGACAACTTGGAGAAATACATTAACTGTGGATCTGATACTCCAAAACCTCTTGTGCTTTAAGATGCAAGTACATAATAGAGTTAACCTCACAGAGAAGACACGCATGGTAAAATAAGAAAAGTCTGATCAAACAAGGGAACACGTCCTGAACTGAACCCACAGGCCCCTGAGATTAACTGGATATTGGGTTATTTCAGGCATTAAGCAGAGCCCTGCCCTCATGGACTCTCATTTTTACAGTCTCCCTTGGTACATGGTCTTACAGGTTTGCTTTTTATTTCTGGCGTATGTCAGCGTGGCAGGATCCTGAAGAGGGATGGGATACAGGACACTTTCTAACTAAACCACTGGAGCTATTGATGCTCATGACATGAACTCCTTGGAGAACTGTCCAAGAACTGCAAGGAAGCCTCAAAGCCGTCTGGTTTTAAACTTGTTCTTCAGATCTCGTACAGCACTGAGCAGGGTCAACAGTGGCAGCAAACAGACTGGAAATTCCTCAGTTTCAGGATTACTCACCATCTCTGCTCTGTTGTAGCTTCGAAACAGCAGATTCTCAGGGAAAAAAAAAAAAAGTAGCTTACAATGTAGCACAACAGAGAAGACACTAGAAATTGATGTGTGGTCCAGGTGAACACCATCCGCCTCTCTTAATAGCAGAGTGATAATGATTGCTGCCCAGAAGGGAGGTCACTCTGCCCTAATAGATGGTGTCAGGACTTAATAGGGATGCAGGTGTACCTAACATGTCAATCACAGCTAATGAACCAGGAACACTTTCATAAACACAGCTTCCAGTTGTGCCCCGTGTTGTACTCCCTGTGAACACAGAGGAGCTCTATGGACACATTATTGCAGCATGCAAACAGCCCAGCTTTGTTTTGCCTGTTTGTGAATGACCCCTACATACAGTTGTATTCCTTGAAGGGCTTCTGAGGTCACAGCAGCATCTCTTGAAATAGTCTTGAACTGAAGAAGCTGCATACTTACACCAGGTGATGAACAGCAGTGCTTCATTAGCAGCCTGTTGCAATGTTATGGTCTGATAGGTGCCAGTGATTCATGATGTAAAATTCTATTTCATTACAGTAATTTGATTTTGTCAGGGTAGGGGCCAGTGTTTGGTTTGTTTCAGGTACTTTCATTTCCACAGGAATACCAGACACAGATTAGCAGGAAGGAAGGAGAAATCTCACAGCCATTCCAATGTAAAGCCTTATGTTTATGTTCAAGCGCAGGAAGCACTGCCAACACTGCAGGCAGGTGCCCTTTGGAAAGCCAGAGCCACATAAGCCTGCACTCTTTTACAAGCACAAAATCAGCTACAACTTCTTCTCCCAGTAGAAACCCACTGCATGCATTCCTCTCTCGTCACTTCCAACTCCTGCTCTGTTGCCATACATCAGGCCTCTATCCAGAATTTTTCCTCTCTCTCTTGCAGTGCTTCCCAAGTACACAGAGCCAAGAGCAGACGTGAAAGATGGATTCATTCCTCTGTGCCAGCTGTATTTAATGCACAGATCCCATCCTGCTCTCAACACAGAATCTTGCTTTTCTGTCCAAAAACAGTAGGATCAAGAGCTTTCTCTATAAATACACATTCTTCAACATATTTGTTTAAAGTGACTATCCTGAATGGGAGCACCGAAGATACAATTTTGTCAGTATTTTACTTTCTAATACTTGGTTCATATATATTAAAAAAAAAATGTGTCCCTGAATACGTTCAAAGCCATGGTATGCTAGGCAAGGTATAAACATATTCAAAGAAAATCCGTACCTGAGAACTTAGAGACAAATAAGACAAAGGAGGAAAAGAGGAAACTGTTACCCTTACTTTACAGAGACTTAGGAAGATTGATGTGACTTGCCTAAACTCCTGTAGAAACTCTGGGGAATTGAATAGAGACCACTGGAGTCTCAACACAAAATCTTAATTACCGAATCCAATTTTCCACTCTTCCTTTCATATGGCTTTTTCATACATTAAAACACTTCACATGAGCTTCACTTCTTTTCTCCCAGGAGGAATAGCAAAGGCAGCAAGTTGCCCTTGTTAAACTAGGTTGCAGATCCAAACAAATTTAAAATGATATCTCAGCAAGATTTTGCAACCTGCCTGTGACAAATAAAAGGACTTTCACCCTGAAAACGCGTGAGCACTGGGGAAGACTAGCTGAGAGAATTTAGCAAGGCTCTTAATGAAAGAGCTGAGCTACAGTATGTATATGCATGAGCTCATGTATTATTTAAACCATTATGATCAGAATAAGCATTGTGAGCACAGTACTGAAAGTGTCACTAGCATTCATGCATCGAATAACTTGCCCTCATAAAGGTATAATAATGCGTTCATCAGTTTTGTTTATACTCCCAAAGCAGTAATAGCATGAACAGAAAATAACCCTGTATGTTGCAAAAAGCACATAAATATAAATCTAATTATATCTCTCCTTGATATTATGACCAAGAAATGATGAAGCTCACTGAGGAATAACATCTGAGACGTAACTGCATTCCTAAGAACCTTTGTGTGTCGCTATGTTCAAACCTAGCCTGGAATTTTATGGGTTAAAACAAATCTATCTTGCCACAGCCAGTCAGACTGCCTCAGTAGCCCGGTGGTAGGTCCCTTCTCTGACAGGTGGGAGATTCAGATTGTATTCTCTGTGATACCAGTACAGCTTGCCCAGTGCTTGCTGCCACCTACTACACATCTCTCTCTGGGTGCCCCAAGGACTGACAGTTTAATCACAGTGCTGATGATGGCTCCCTGGGAGGATGTCCTATCTTTGGTGTTCCCAAGGATGACTGTGACACACGAGATGGTGGAGAGAGGGGAGCAATCATAGGAGAGGCAAATGGAAGATTGTGGTAGTCCTCAAGGAATACCAAAAAACATTCATGCTTACATCCATACACACCTGATCAACAGAAAAAAATGAAGTCAGACAAACTGAAATTGACATGTAAAAATAAATATAAAAGCCATCCACAGATTGCTGATTATACTCAAACAGTTGCTTCAGCACAAGTTTTCTATACTAAATTGACATTAAGAGCAGCCATCTCAGTCTCTTGGATTTTATTTTACCCTTTTACACATTAGTGAACTGTACTTTCATGTGGGAAACTTAAGCAGCAGTCTGTTCTTGCTGGTAAAATGGCAAGACTCCCACTGGTTTCATTCAAAGGTTCGGGTTGTTAATGATGAATCAATCAATCAGTCAAGATATGAGAAGCTGCAGAGAGAACAGAAGCCAAAATTGGTCTCAAAATTCAGTGAACTCATGTATGCTTATTTCATCAGCTGAATCAGATCTGCTCTCAGGAGTAGTGAGGAAAGATGCATATCTAGGACTGCGAGTAGGTGTGTTTGGTAAACGTTGTCACTTGGTTATCTCACTGCAGTTCCCGTATGTGAAAAGATTCAGAAGAGCTCAACACAATAGGAGTGGTGCTGGCTGGGCACTAGGATTAGAATGGTCAGTGCAAGGAGATGCCAGAATAGAAAAGAAGTGGCAGAAGCCCAGGCACGGCTAACACACAGAGCAGAGAACAACCTGGTCTAGTGGGATGCAGCCCTGCCTACAGCAGGAGGTTGAAACTAGATGATCTGGAAGGTCCCTTCCAACCCAAACCGCTCTATGGTTCTATTATTCAGGCCTGCACATGCTGTTATCCGCACCAATCTTTTGCCCTCAATCCTTTTCCGGTCATTTACACAAGTGTGAAAGCAAAATCACAGCTAAGAGAACTACATTTAGGAGAGATATTTAAGACCTTTTGCCTGCCTCTTCCAGGAAGCACTGTGGAAATTCACTTACTTGCTTTTTATGGTTTTTATGACTGGATGTTTAAAGGTTATTGCAAATCATATTATGCAAACATTAAGTGCTGGACCCATTTATCCCCATAGCCTAAGTTATGGGAAAGAGTGAAGGAGAAATACTGACTCTCATTTCTCTAAAAATATCTATTGGCAATTCTTAAGTTCTTTTTTTAAAAAACAAAAACAAAAAAAGCAGCTTGACAATTATCTTGTGTGCTAATTACATCAAAGCAGTCCATAAAGTTTGAGGAAGAAATGCATAATAAATGTTTATTTACTCTACAACTGTAAGAAGTTTCACTAGATCTATTCCATTTTTCTACAGACAGAAAAGCTAAGCAGAAATAGCTACTGCTACAAAGTGAATGAGGTATTTATAACACAAAAACAAGGTTGTTCTACAAATGCAGAAAGGCTTTAAACTTAACAAAACCAACCAAAACACTGTTTATAGGATGCACACGTGAGATGGGTACGCTTAAAATAGTAGTTTACTGAATGAAGAAAGTTGTAACTGACTAAAGCATACCTATACTGTTTTCTGTCTGCAGGTTTACTGGTATGCAGAAAAGCTTGTAGTGTTTAATATTTAAAGCTCAGAAGGGAAGAAACTGTAAAAGAAGGGAGAAGAAAAGGCTACAGAATGCTATACAGCATCCTGTATCCCGGTGGGCGCTGTCTTTGCTATT